TAAATACAAAGATTAGGAGTTGAACACAGGCTTGTTTTATCAAAATCAGAATACTTAAAAACTACAGATTTGAACGAATGACAGTGGACACAAAAAAAAAAGAGGTTTAAGGAAGGGAGGAGGCGAGGGACGGCAGTAAAAACACGATACGTCATAATTTTCAAGAAACAGTATACCTTATTTCACACCTATTCTTCGCCAGTTCGTTAACTGGCTAAATATGCATAAGTTCGCTCATTCAAGAAATATCGCATTTGCATTTTAACTGTAACGCAATGCAACACTTCAACGGTGCTAACTGCTTTAAAAAACTAAAGAGACAAAGAAAACTGATAAAAGGCGCCTGCCTGAAACTGCCGCAACACGCTTATTCAGAAATAATTAGCACAACGATAACAAAAATCACCTTCAGGAGACATCCAGGCTGGGGAATATAATCTTCCAGTCTCTTGGAAGCTAAATTTGGTATCAGCCATTGAAATCCTTGCCGTTAGATCCTCGTCCACCACCACATGCTTCGAATTGAGATAGAGCCTTAAGATCATAGGATCCAGCGAGTGCAGGAATGACATACCACGCGCTATATCCAACGCAAATTTTGTTGCTTGAGCTTGATCGATTACGACAGCTACAATGGTTACGCATTGACAGATTTCACCAACAAACACTCCAGCAACACGACAATCAAGTCTGTATGGTGGGCTATACAACAGCAAAAGACAGGGTCACGAATCGGTGGTAAACTAATAGCCATTTTAGGTATTACATGCACAAAATCAAGAACTGGAATAATCGAGCTGCTTGAGCAAGAAGACCAAAAAATGCAAAAATAAAAGGCAACACCTGGGATAATTTCCTTAAAAAAAGGGTAATGTGGGCAAAATTTTCCTGAATAAAACCTTCCGTCAACAGCACTTACAGATTCCCTTTTTAACTAGTAAATGCAACGTAAAAAGAAAGAGAGAGTGAGGGAAAAACTGAGATCAGCGGGACACAAAAGTGAAAAGTATCCTCCACGTACCCGTTTGCTCATGTAGCACATTATAAAGTGAGCCGAATGGCATGAACTGACTGATAACGATAAGATTTGGTGGCTGATTGCAACATGCAAGCACAGGGCAAACATTGGCATGAGCGAATATCCTGAAAATTCTTCATCATTAGCAAACATTTCTTCTCTTTTGAATGCTTTTTTCTTCTAACAGATATTTTGTAAAATCAAGTTCAAATGACAATAAAAAGCAGCAGTTATAAGACTTCCGGGACATAAACATCCGGGAGAAGCACGCAGTAAACAACCAATGGAAGCAAAAAATAAGCGGGCAAGAAGGTGTTTGGATAAGAAATAATACCTGAGCGCAGGAAATTCTGTCTGAAAATCACGACTTATTCGTGGAGTAACTTCCGGAACAGCCAAAATTCGAGCAACGATATCATTGCCTTGCCACTTGCCACGCCACAGCTCACCGCTGTGCGATTCCGCGATTTTCACTGATAAACTCAAAGAAGCCATATCGACGCCCGTGTACCTGAAAAAGCCAACGTAACGCCAACTGACATAATTATAAGCCAAATTCGGAACTTCTTTCGTATTCATACGTTACAAAAAGACAGACGGTAGACTAAGTGGTAGCATCTGTCAACAGCAATCATCCACCAGTAAGGCTGTCAATGGTTTCTTATTCCGAAATGGCTGAGAATTTTATAACAACAACCTTGACAGTGTAGCATCCCTTGTTCGGCTTTTCGTTCCTTTCCAAGTCTGATCTTTGAATGGGATCCTTTCATTTGTGTTTTGCCTG